CACATTAGCTTTGTACTAGCAAGTGTTTATACAGCTCCACAGGAGATTTAAGGGTTTCTSAAACATGCATAAATGAATCAAAGCAAAACTCTGGGTATGCTTTTGATGAGGGAATAAAATTATTACATGAAATATAGTTCAAAAAACTCAATTTTGAATAATATCCCCCCTCTCTCCTCCGTCCGCCTTTAAATATGCAAACAGATGCAGACAGAMAGACTTTATTGTTCTCAAGGCTGAGAAACTCTGGTATTACATCAGACAGTCTGAGAACACCAAAAAAATCCAAAATGTAATAAAATAATACTCAAATTCAGGAAAAGTAAGTAGAATATGATAAGATATAAAAAGGAAAAGAATAAGCWGCTAAAGTTTTCCTTTTGAAACAAATGAAGGAATTAAACTGTGAATGTTTGGGACAGGAAGCATTGACATAAAGGACAGACAGTGTTAGCAACTCACAAACAGGGCAGGCAGGCCAGCTGTGAAGGGTCTAGTGGTGTCTTCATTTGACCCCTGAGATTGTCCAAGACMAGTCCCTCCAACACCATCATGACATGTAAAGGTAACTGCACAGTAACCACTGAGGTCAACTGGTGTTGACTTCTTTACAGACTGGAAMCAGGCAGGACGTCTTCAAGAGCACCGACTCCCTCTCTTGGCTCAGGTTTAAAAGGTATTGCAAGACAAGAGAAAACTGGCTGGTCCAATTCTTCAAGCTCCAATGGGAAGGCTGATCCCATCAGGTCCCACAGCTTTCCTTTGGTAGAATCTCTCCAGCTGTTTCATGAACTTGTCACATTACTCACAGTCATGTGAGTGATGGAGACTTTTGGACGTCTCTGGAAGAGTAGAGTTGTTCATCAAAGCACACCACAGAGAAATGAAGTGTGAGGAGTGGAAACTTGTWTGGCAGAAGGCGTGTCTTTGGGTCTGACTGTAGAGGATGGACAACATCCGGCTGTAAACTGAACCTGTGTTCATTTGCATTCTGAAGACTTGCAGGTGGCGGGTTGTCTTTTAGGGATCAGCTTCATTTCAGACCACAYGTCTCTTATATTGTTCTTAGTGGTGTCCCAACACCGATACTGGTATCAGTATCGTGTCGGGACAAAAGAAGACATGACATCACATTCAGCTGATGAAAGTGAAACTAACTAATGTATTGATCCAGTAACTTTAGTGTGGGTATGGTCCAACACCAATGTTACTACCAATGTTTAAGTTCTAACTCAGTAAGTACTAGGGATCAGTCAAAAAGAAAAAAATAAGTAGGTCCTCTGGATGGGTTCTTCTTTAGTGAAACGTTTTGTCTCTACTCCAAGAGACTTCTTCAGTCTGATGAGTTTCAGGTGAAACTCAGCCTTATAAGCAATGCCTCCACCTGGACAAACAGGTTAGTCACATGCAAAAGATGGCCATCGACTAACAATAGGCTTGATTGGCTCTATTGTTCATAGAGGGTCGTGTGCCCCATCACCTGACCTGTGTCGTGTTATGTGAATGTAGTGAATGGAAGCAGGGGTTAAACGTCCCCTTGTTTTTGTCCCTCTCTCCCTTTGTGTTGGTATCACTGGGGCCCTGATTCACACCTTTTGCTCACAGGGGGCTGAGTCATTCTTGCAATAGAAGGACAACTGGACATGAAGGCCTCCACCTCTGTTTAATGGTGGACGGTGTTTCTTCCCAAAGATGGCTTCCTTTACTC